GTCTCACTGCTGCAAATGTGACCATCAAGAGACTGCTATATTCACATTTTGTGAAGAAGACTAACTTGTGTTTGCTGTGAAGTAGAATACAATCTGGCTTTGCCAGCTGAGAAGTTTCATTCCTAGAGTTCAGCTTTTCTAAGGAAGAACCGCCTCTTTCTTTCCTGTTGTGAACACCCATTTATAGTGGAGCATATTTAGATGAGGAATACTGGTAACTGTTTTATGTAAGTCAAAAGAAAATGTAAGGATTACTTATCAGTGTGGAGCAAATGCTGTTTGATTTAACATGTATTTTATAAAACTGAGAGTTTACCTAATTTTACCATGTTCAATTGGAGTGATTTTTCTTGGTATTAGAAGTACTACCCTGGTATTTGTATAACAGATTAGTTTGCCAGAAGGGAGATGAAAAACTGTGAATAGCAAAAAGGATTACTCTTTATAAATATTACTGTTAAAGAATGTCATTTAATTCTGTGCTTTAATAAATTATTCTAAAATGTATTTTATTACCATAATTTATTAAACAATAAGGAGACATTTTGGCTGGAAATACTGATAACATCTCTATAGTACCATATTGGGATAGTCATTTTATTTTTCTGACACTCTAGATAATTAGGAATTATAAATTATGCTTACACTCTTAAACATGCTAGCTGGAGAGTGTAAGAGACTGTGTGTTGTTTTTGGTGCCAGTTCAGCTCCTGATTTTCAAAACTCCTGGCACAGAAATGAATGCTGATTTTCAATTTCTAGAAGTAAAATGGATGTGTATGACTCACCTGAGAGATTTAGGTGAAGACCTTGCCACCTGCTTGCATGTCTGAGTGAAACTTACTTCATGATTGTTATTGAGAATGTTGTTTTTACCTGCTGTTTTGCTGGCATCTTAGCCTTGCTCCTAGAGGTCAGGTAATCACGTTTCTTGCAAAAACAGTAATATTGATTTTTAGCAGAATCACTGGGTAGCTAAAGTAAATTTCTTCTGTTCCTCAGATTTGATTTTTCCGTAGGGAATTTCAAGGATAAGAATAGGTAGCTTTCACAGGCATGGATAGACCTGTGTGTGGTATCTAATAAAAGATATATGACAACGTAGAGCTTCAGGTCTGTCCACACAGGCTACTGCATAAATTCTTGCGCCTCTTGATTTACTTTGTCCATTCCAGTGAGGCACTGTATTTTTTCAACCTATATCTTCCTTAGAGGAACTATAACTTTGGCGGTATTCTAGGCCATACACAAGTAAAAGAGGCTGCCTCGGTTTTTTTAGATGCTCTGTCAGAACCTGTACCTCTATTTTGCATGTTAATAATGCAAAGCATTGGGTTTTCCTTCTGTATTAAAGTTAATTACTGAGGTTGTAGACAACCTTGTAGCCTATATATTGGTAGAGCATAACATTTCAGTACTACTTTGCTGAACTCTTGTTAACCCAGATGCCTGGTAAAATGCCTCTGGTTTATATATTTGAGATTATTACTGTTCAAATTATCCATGTTTATAAACACAGATAATGTGCCAACATGCTCCAGGAGAATGTCTGTGCAGGCAGGTGCAGATAGATGCAAGCTCCCTCTGCCTGTGATCTGAACATACTGTATGTGAGCCAGTCTGGAAACTACTAGCCTGCTATGTGGCACTATGCCCAAGCTAAAATGCTGTGTGTCTTAGGTAAATGAGGCTTTACAGCTTCTGAACTGAAGCTGACTTGCATTCAGGAGGCTTCAAAATCATAGACTGTGTGTTTGCATTCACCTGCCCATCTATATGGATGTATTCATCATTCCATATTGCAGTTGAAGGACTTCATTACAAATCCCCATCCTTGTGTTCTTATACAGTTTTCACTAAACATTTTTAGATTTAAGACCTCGTAACTTCACTTACATTTGTTATAAAGATTAAAAAACAAAATGACCAATAGCATGAAATATTGGTTGCTGATTCAACTGTATGTGCTGGGGGTTGGATTCTGGTCTTTGGCTGTCTTGGTAGTGCATTACAGTAGAGCCATATGGCAGCAGATATTTCACGTGATTGTAAACCATCATTTTCTGGAAGTGTTTAGTATTTATTGGAATTGTTTGTTGTGACTATGCAATACTTTACCAATAGCTGTGTACTGAAGGAATTGTTGTGTCAACCACATGGCAGTTGAGTAAAAAAAAATTGTTAGGTTTCAATAAAATACTGTCTTACAAAAATATTATAATATCTTCAGATTGGCTTTCATAACCCCTCTGTACCTTCAGCTGAAAAAGAGGACATTTATAGTTTCCAAAATCTTGTGTCCTTGAGGGTTGCAGAATTTTCAAAGTGAATTGCCTGCTCTTCTCCCCCATGAGAGTTTTCCCCCCCGTCTGCTACTTTAAAATGGGACTGGTGTTTCAGAAGGCTTTGCATAGTGTTGCACAGATACACTGTCATGACTACAAGGACCATATGGCTATTTTGACTGTCAATACAAAAAAGATGGAATCCTATTATCAAATATTGAAATGGTACCTGATGTCGGTATTCCTCACTGTCTTTCTCACTGTCAGATTTTTGTTTTCAAAGTCAGTTTTTAAGTACTATAAACTTGGAAGAGGTGAAAATTCAGTACGCTTCCATTTAAATTCAAGCTTTTTTAGAAATTTTATTCTGTGTATGACTTTTGACAGCTGGACTAAAATTTGTGTTAGAGAATCAAATAACATTATATATCCCTAGAAACCATTTTGGTGGGAAGAATTTAGCATGAAATATGCCTATGAGAATTAATGCATGGAATTAACCTAAGCATAAATGAAAAACATTGAATTTCTGAGTTGTTTACTTATTTGCATCCTGAATGAGTTTGATTTGTGATGGTGATGTCAGTATACATCTTCAGATATTAATCAGGTGTATCTTAAAACTGTTAATTATAACTAATTATAATTAATTTGGAATAAACCAATTTATATTTTGCTATTTAGCAGAGGGTGCCTACTTTACAGCAATGATTACCATGAATGAAAGATTAGGACCATATCCTGCTTATTTTAATTTCAGACGGAGAAAATCTTTGTTTTATGTACCCTGAAAACAAAGAGAACAAACCTAAAAGCTGAGTCATTGTTATTCATGATTTTAATAAACACTGCTGTCAGATAAAAGTAGAAGAACTAACCTAACCTTATTTAATTTAGAAGAGTATTTTATGCAATAAAGCAATCTGCTGTTTCTTTGGCTTTAAAGTCACAGCATTCCTGTTGCCAACCCTTTCTGTCAGAAATGTTCAGTTATCACCCCCAGCACTCCCAAAAGAACCTGCTTGGGGAGGCTGGGCACATTTCTAAAACAGAAAAACAGAGACTTGTATATAAAAGAGCAGAAAGAAAAAAAGTTGAATTTGTGTTACATTTTTCTTTCCATTTAAGACAGATACTAAGAAGAGGCTGTATTTAGATTTTCTATGTTGCATATATTCCCTACTTTCTGCAGTCTGAGAAAAATGATTTAATAGAGTAGTGGATCTGCTTTCTTTTATTTCAGTGCATTAAGAAGTTAAGATTTTAATGAAAGCTTTATTGAATTGACAAGTTATTTGAGCACAAAACATGAAAAATGTTGACAGTCTGGTATGAATTACTGTACAGCATCCTTTATGCATTATTTTGAGATCTATAGAAAGTAAAATACCTACATCTAACCCTACAGATACGTGACTCCTTAATGTATTTTTTTTCTTAATATCTGCTATTCAAAATGAGATCTTTTTATTTAAATTAAGACTGCTGAAGACTTATGGCATCCTCTTTTAAACATCCTTTAACCATGATTAGAGTAAAGAAGACAGAATAATAAATGACACTATTTAAGAGTATGAATAAAATGCAACTGTTTATCTAGAATTGATCCACATCTCCTAACTTTGAAAGTAAAATAAATGCATTGTTTTCCTTTGACTCCATCAGAAATATTGTCCTTTAAATATTTACATTAATACATTAGGAATTTTGAAATAAAAGTGAAATAGCTTTCTTGACATTGTTACTGGCAAGCAGAACGATTGCAAGAATTCCAAACTTTTAGCTCACCTTGGATATATGAAGTTCATGAGCCATATTCTTACATTTATTAGCAGTTGGAACCTAAGGTTAATTTATGGCTCATTTAACCATGTTTATTTTGTAATGATTGATCTTATGTAGTTCTCAAAAAAGGCATAGGCCATAACATATTCCAAAACTTATCAAGTATTATGTTCTCTTTCTTAGCTGATAAGTCATAGTCTGTCATCGAATGCACTGCAGAAAGTGAATATTTCATTTATTTAAGAAAACAAGGGACAGATTATGATATTACCAACATGAGCATTTCAGAGCATAAGAAATAATAAGATCTGTGCTTCCAAATGATGTTGTAGAACTTACTTTTCTCATGTGTCTTCACAAGCTACAGTGTGACCTTCCTGGCTTCTATGTAATTCTGTATGTCTCTGAGTGCTGTAATAGTAATAAATTCATAGGAAAACATCTGTGAAAATGTGTGGAAGATGTTCAGAGATTTTTCTACTGAGGCTTACAGGCTCCCAAATAAACAAGACAACTTAAATTTTGTATCACTTTGCTATTATGATTCAATCGTTCCAATTGGAATAGTTCACAACAGATTTATCTAGAATATTATCGAATTCAGGTAAGTAAATTTAAAACAAAGCAAATCCCGAAGATTTTTTTAGATCAAAGCAATTGAAATAATTATTATTAGATGTCATGTCAGAATAAATAGAAACCCACTGAGATAAATGTGTTAAGAAGTATTTAAATTATGAAAAAATGAATAAAGATAATTTATTTTTGCTGATAATTTATTTTATTATTTGATTGTACTTAACATTATTAATTCTACAAGGAGTTTTCAGAAATTATTTGACTATTTTCTTGTGGTTAAAAGGAGCATTTCATGTAGCATTTTTATTCTGTTTTATGGAGAATGTAACAATTGTTATTTTATTTTATCAGACAGGAAGCATTGCTTGCTGCAATTAGTGAAAAGGATGCAAACATTGCCTTGCTTGAACTGTCAGCTTCAAAGAAAAAGAAGACACAAGAGGAAGTAATGGCTCTTAAAAGAGAGAAGGACAGATTAGTACATCAGTTAAAGCAGCAGGTGGGGAGAAATTCATTTTCATACTTTTATGACAACAGAGAAGTGCCATTATTTTCATTTGTACTGTTTTCTTCTGACACTGTATTGAAAGTTCTCAAACCAGGTCTGATATGTGACAGCAATTGTGATAAGTAGGAGATGTGAAATGTGAATGTTTCTGTGTTGCTCAAGATCTATCCCCTCTGTTGACACATTCTAACCTTTTTGCTGTTTCGTTTTTTCTTATCTGTTGTTGAATTATTGTTATGTGTTTATTTTTCAGAAGGCGCCAGGCTTTCTGCAAGGTTATCTGGAAATCATGATTATTCTTAAAATGCTCAAATGAGGTTTTTTGTTTGTTTGTTTGTTTGTTTGTTTAAACCATTAAGATATTATTGAGATACACTCAAAACTTTCAGAACTTTGTTCTGCCAGAGTATGGCAACAGCAGAAAAGGATTGCCAGAGAGACATTGTGTGTGTGATAACTTCAGCTAGAACTGCAATCAAATACTTCAAATACCTCCATTATTTATAGTGATAAAGATCTTCACTAATGCTATTTAACTAGATTAAATTAATGCCAAAATAATCTCTTTTATCTCAGACACTGAAAAAAAAAAAAAAAAAAGGAAAGAGACACTAGGAATAGGAATGTAGTTTAACTGGGTCACCACTTTATTACACTTCAGAATTATCTGATAGTAGGAGTTGTAGAGATCATTCATGCTTCCTTAATCCCTTTAGAGAGAAGCACTGTTAAGCCCCACAGGTTTCACATGTGCATCCAAGAGCAAGGCTTTTAAGTGCTACTTGTCCTTGTTATGATTGTTCTGTGGGAAAAAATGACAGATTTCATATTGCATGATATCTCCACTGTACTTCTCAGTTTCTCTGAGAGATGCCATTTCCTAATCTGTTTCTGAAGCACTTTTATCAAAGAGCTAGAACCTCAGTGAATGACCAACTGCAGCACTTCTTCTGTTCTGATTTTCTGGCCTTTTAGCAGTTCAAGCAGAGTGTAAATGATAAGGATTTTGATGTAATTTGTAACTCTTCTCACTGAAAAATGAAAAGCATAATCTTAAAAATGAAGTATGTTGCCTCCGTAGGAGAATGAGAATATGTGTTATTTACTTTAAATATGAAACTACAGGCATACACACATGAAAGACCAAAATATTATTGTGCTGATAAATTGAGCAGGCTTGTCATAGGTTGTGGCTGCATGAGTTGAAGAATGATTTGTCATTTCTAGGCTGAAAGAAATGCATTGATTGTGACTTCTTTTTACAGGTTTCATCAGAATACGTTTTGATAACCTCAGAAACTTTTTTGTATTGCAGTTGTCCACCTAAATTGCTGCTAGTGATACTGATCTCTGTGATGCAAACAACTTTGCATAAAATGTGCACATTTAATTGCAATGATTTAAGTACAATTTAGCAGCTGCAATCTTTCAGTAAAGCATCTATTGCTTAGTGTTTTAAATATATAGAAGTATAGTATGCATCCCCAGCAAAACAGAGTCGCTGGAATTGTTTTGATTCATATACCAAGTGCTGTATTTGGAGAGCCACAGAACTTTTTGGTAGGTTTAAAAGATCTCTCAGTAATACAGTATTAAACAAGATCACCACATGGGCTTGGCTGAGTGATTACACAGTGTTTATAATCACCCTGGCCAAGATTCCTTTGGAGAATATTGAGACAGCTATTTTTAGAGAAATGTGTATAGTGATGCAATCCCTCATGAAACAATTAGCTTAAAGCCCATTTTTAGAACATCTCAAGAGATTTTTGTAGGAGCATAATGCACTGCTGTGTTATTGATTCATTCTGAACTTGGATACTGTAAGGAAATTTCCCAGTTGCCTCTTTTCACTTTTGGGATATAGAGCCAAAAATGTAAGTGGAGTTTGCCAAAATGCAAGGTCTTCTAACTCCTTGAAAGCATTTTATTTTTCTTCCCAAAACATGAAACTAGAAACCAGTCCAGCATTTGCAGGACTGCAGGTGTACAGAATACTCTGGCCAGAGGCAAAGTTGGTGTTTGGCAGAGTTCTCCAGTCTATTAGTTCATGACTATATTTCATCACATGAACATATTGCTAATGAAACAAAAACGGTGAGAAACAAACAAGGAATTTAAAAAATCTGTATAACCACAGTTTCTCAACAAATTCCTTCTGTATGCAATGCATCGGAGTATTTCTGACTAATTAACTTAAAAATATTTCAAAGAAAGCTTTCAAGAGCAAAGGAGGGAAATGGAATTGAAGCCAGCATGTTGTATTACGTATATTGTTCTGGTTAAGAACATACATATATTGTTCTGGTTAAGAACATTAGGAATAGAGCTAATGTGATATTGTGGTAGTGACATCAAGCACTTAGGAAATTGCAAGTTATATTTTCCCTTTTAGATAAATTGGTTCATATTCCTACATACCATCACTGTATTAGAATTTTTATTTTATCTATTTTTATTGTGTACCACTAGAAGAAATGTAGTGATTTCAGTGTAGGCTAGATTTTTGTATAAGATACAAACTTAGAAAGGGGAGAGCTGGATTTGCCCAGGGAGGCTGTGGAGTTCCCTTCTCTCGACATATCCAAGAACTTGTGCCTGGATGTTTTCCTGTGCAACCTGCTGTAGAGAACCTGCTTTAGCAGGGCGTTAGATTAGATGATCCCTGGAGGTCCCTTCCAACCCCTATGACTCTGTGATTCTGTAGAATTGCAAAAATTACAATGAAATGAACTTTTCTGACATTTAGGTATCAGTATTACAAACCATGTAATTGCAGTTTCAAAAGTTCAGCTTTGATACTAAAGTTTCTTTGATACTAAAGTTTGTTACTAAAGTTTCTAAAGTTCTGGTGCTTAAAAATTATGGGGAAGTGTCTTTACAATCGTTTCCTGTTTTAATACACAAATAAATGAAAAAAAGCCTGAAGTAAAAACAAAACAAGCAACAAGCCACCAAGAACTCTATCTTCTCGTGCTGTTTGTCTGCTTTTAGTGGGACCTGGCCTGAGATGTCCTCAGGCAGCTGCTGTTGCAGAGCTTTAATTATGCTTTTTAACCCACTTCTTTGTGTCTGCGTTCTTACATACTTCTGTGTAATTACTAGGTTTAGTAGTAGAACTCAGACAAATACTTTTAGCATGACTTTAGCCTATACATTACTTCGTATGCTGTATTATTACAAGATATTTCCTGTGCTTCAAGCCATACTTTTAATTCACAGAACTTAAAAAGGCTTCAAATACATTAACTCTAAATGCAGGGACCACAACAGAGAAGGCAGAGGGACCGTGTTCAAATCAGCACAACTTCAATCACAAGTGCAAGGAAAGTAGAAATTTACTCTTAGTACTCCAGATAAATGTCTGCTTGGCACTTGAAACTGCTGCCTCTTCTCATGCTGCCAAGCATCTGATATCCCAGCTGGTGTTTGTGAGAAGGCTATTATCCTTCAGCTCATGAAAAGAGAGGCTTACTATGAGCCCTGACTTCTTACAGCATAAGTCACTTAAATCCTGTAATCTTGCAAAGCATCAGGTCTAATGGCTGTTAATATCATTTAAATAGTACTGTAATTAATAATAAATTTGAAATATATGTGGAGCTTTTATGCTCACAGTAAACACTAAATTATCAGATCCAGGCTTTGTCAAGATATATATTGAAAACTGCTTTACATCTATTATTTTTTCTTAATTGTAAACAGAGAGTTCGCATCTTAGTTACTTCTAGGCAGATAAATAGATGGGATTTTTAGCTTTTTGTCTTTTCATGACTATTCATTTCTTTTATGCTACTCAGGCTTCATTTAGTCTAATACTTTATCTAGTATCCTTTATGTATCACATTACTTTACTTCACAGTGTGATACCATCAGAAAAATAATTAAAATTGTTAATCTTCCAACCTTCCCTGGCATCGCTTTTTGTAAAACCTAATTTTTTTTTAGAGTTGGTTTTTTTATTTTTTTTTAACCTTTTCTCCAGTTCCCAGTATTTTTTTTTTTCTTTATTTCAGATACAGTATATTTTTAAATTTCTCTGATAACATTGCTGCACAAGAGTCAGAGCATCTAATTTGGCCAGCTTTTGTTGTTGTGTTTCATCTGGCAGGAAGGCTGGATTTCCTGAAAGCTTGGAAAATTTTTTTTGTACTGTGAAATTAGAGAGTGCAGACAAGGTCTGAAGAACAAGTGTTCTGGCTACACATACTTCACAGATGATGAGAACTGTAAGATTTTCACATTAAACATCACACGACTTAGATTTAATACATAACTAGATGTAGATAGAAGAAAGTTTAAAAAAACAAGAAGTGCTTTCCTACCATAAGAACATTAGTGTGTTCCTAACTTCATATGCAACAGTCATATCATGAATGAGGACAAAAAAAATAGAAAAAATCTTAAGAAGTGGCCACATTTTTCTCCAGTAAACCATAACACGCACTTTTAACCTGCATGCATCCTGTCTCTAATGCTTTCCACAAGTCACACAATATAACAGGAAAATAAATACCATTTGAAATTTTAAGAGGGAAAAAAATTAAGAGGAGAAGAAAATAGCAAAATACAAAGTAGAAAATAGAGAAAAAAAAAAAAAAAAAAAAAAAAAAGGACAAATATAATTAAGAATAAGGGTGTAAGGATATTACAGAGATGTTATAAAAGACAATGCCTAATTAAAACTCTCCGTAAAGCATAGCTCCACCCCATAGTGATGCATTCTAATACCAGTACGGTTATGATTATGGTAGTTTTCTAGCATCTGGAATTCTGAGTTACAACACTGTAATGTTCTTCATTATCCTTTTGTTGCTGATGTGTGCTTGCAAACATATTCTTTGTAACTTACATTTTTTCTGTTGGCATTTTCTTAGTGTATAAGAACTCACGGCATAAGCAAAAAAAGAAAACCAAAAACAATCTTGAATTTAATACTATCAGATATTTGTAACAATTGAAGACAATTGAAGAAGTATAACTTATTTTAT